AGAGGAAGGCAGAAAGGAAGAGGAGGGGAAGGAGGAGGAAGAGAAGAGATAGAAAGAGAGACTGGGAGAGAAAGACAGAGTGGTGGGGAGCCCTGGTTTACTCTCATGCTTGTGTAAGGTTCACTTTAGCTCTGGTTTCCCCTGAGGATCTCCCTGCCTACCTGGATGATGGACATTGGGCAGTTCCACCTTCTTGGATGGAAATGTCATTCTATATCCACTGTAGAGGTTTGGACCAAAGGCAAAGAATAAGCACATCAGAATACATCCTACAAGAAATACAATCATATTAATAGCAAAGAGAGCTACTTTGTGCAAGGCAATGGTCTCTACTCTACACATTTCCCACACGTATTCTGAAGATCAGATAAAGGGAAGTGATCTGGATTGTGCCACACATGGATAAGTCACTATATTACACTGCTGATGAGGAAAGTGAGTACTCCTGGCAAAATGCCCTCTGTGTTACTCATGCCACAAGACTGGGGGGTTTACAAAGGCGATTTCGGTGTCCTCTCTATCCCAGATGACTCCCATATCTCCTTCAGCACCCCCTCATGGTTCCGTAATGTTACGATGCTCTCACTTCCACTATGCTTCATCCTCATGGTTGCACTCTGAATCTTATCGTACCCTCAAAACAACTCCACTGTGGAAACCTTCAGCCAGAAGACGTAAGAATATTTGATGTTCCGCTCACAATATCCCACCCTTCTAGCTCTCATATTCACTTACTCCCATTGTCCCTGCTTTTCAAACCCCACTAAGACTTCCTCAAACCTTTTCTCCCCATCTCTTAGCCCACCAATTAATGTAGTAGCTATTTTTTTTTTTCTTTCTATTCTCAATAGGAAAAGTGGCTCTCCCTGTCCTGTCCCAGGGAATCTCTCTACCTGAACTCTGGACTCCAGCCCCACCTCCAGCTCCTAATTTATCAATTATTTACTCTCTCCTCTAGGTCTTCAACTTATCTCTTCCTGGCGTTTTTCCCTCAGCACATAGATCATATCTCTTCAAACAACTACTGAAAAAACAACCAACCAAACTTAGATTACAGGATCTGATATTCTCCTTATCTAGATTTCTCTCCTTCCTTTCATGGCCAAGTCTCTCACCCCACGGTCACCCCACTCACTCTTCATCCCTCTGAAACCTGACTTCTGTCCCCACCACTCTTCTGACACTGCTCCAGACCAGACTCCAGTGACCTAACAAGCTACGGTCCTATTTCACTTCTTATCAAACTTGGCGTCATCTCTAGAAAGCTGTCCCTTCTTCTGCTTCTGTGCTTCTGTGCCAGCCCACTCTGTGGTGTTCCTCTTCCCCTCCAGCAGCTCCTTCTAAGTCTCCCTAACTCATTTCTATTCCCCTTTCTCTTTGGTAAGGGAGGATTTACCCTCTACCCCTTCCCTTCCCACCGCCTGTAAATCTCTCTCTAAGCAATTTTGTCATTGCCTAAGGCTTCAACAGTTATTCACATATGCTAATCTCATACGTTCTTGGAGTCTCAAACCTATATTGCTTTCTAGATATTCCTGTCTTTATGGCCCACAGGCACCTCTACCTCAATATGCCTTGAATGGAAATTATAATCTTTCCCATTTCAAAAACTGACTTTCCTCCATATTTTCTATCCATGTAGATATAACAACTATCCATCCAGTGACTCAGGCTAGATGCAAGAGAGAAGCCAAGTTTGTTCCTCCCCACCATCCTGGCTCCTCTGGCTCCAAATCCTGTCGAATTTACCCACTAGCTATCTCTTCAATCCATCTGTTCATCTCCCTGTCTTTGACGCTGCTGGACTCAGACCTTTCACAACCTTGTTCTGGATCATCTCAATAACTTCTGGACTGTTCTCCCTGCTGAGAGCTTCCTCTCCCTCCTCCAGCCTGGAGATTTGATACTGTTTTTTTCTTTGTCATGGCGATTCATTTATGTCCTTTTTTCTCTTTAGTGTCTTTTTCAAACTAAAAAGTAATACACTGTTATTGTAAAATAGCCAAAAAGTTTATAAGGTCATAAAGAAAAAGTTAAAGTCACCTTAATCCAGTCCTCAAATCTTACTCCCAAATAAGCCTTTTGGTTTTTCTAAAAATATGATCATATTCAACATATTCTATTTGTTTTACTTTAAGAGGCACTTGTTTTTCCTCGCATTTAACATCTCTGAAACCAAAATGTATCATACAATCCATGGCATCTTAAATTTCTTAAATATACTACTGTTCTGCAATGTACTATTTTTACTTATTAATCTGGGTCATGATTCCAAACCAGCACTGCCTCCAGGATGATCTTTCTAAAGTAGGAATCTAGTCAGGTCACTACCTTCCCCAAAATTCTTCAAAGCTCCCCTCCTTTCCCCTCCCCCGTCCCCCCCACCACCCCACCTCCATTCCCCTCCATGCTATAGGCCCTTCATTTTCTGACTCTCCTGCTTTTCCAGTTTCTTTTCCGGCACATCTGCACACAGTCTTCCTTAAAGCCTACTACAGTAAAACCTGGATTACCAGTAACTTGTTCTGCGAAGGTTCTGCAAGATGAGCAAACATTTCTACTAAATTTTAACTTGATAAATGAATGATGTCTTGCAATACAAGTGTATGAGTAGTGCTTCAAGTCCAAACTTATGTCCATATCATCACTCCTCCTTGCCATTAGACCCCTTCTTTTATTTTTAAAAAATGTTTCTTATTTATTTTCGAGAGAGAGAGAGCGAGAGCGAGCAGAGGAGGAGCAGAGAGAAAGGGAGACAGAGAATCCCAAGCAGGCTCCTCACTGTCAGCATAGAGGCTGATGTGGGGCTCCAACTCACCAACTGTGAGATCATGACCTGAGCTGAAATCAAGTCTGATGCTTAACTGAGCCCCCCAGGTGCCCTAAGACCCCTTGTTTAACCAGAAGTTTTGAGAAATATCAAAGGGCGGGGGGGGGGGGAATGGTTCTTTCCACTTTCTGCTCTAAAACGCCCACCTGAGTTTACCATTTGGACTCCTTCCTGCCCTAGGCATACACACACCTCAGTCCCATCAAAACTCCACACCAGGAAATAAACACAAAAGGAAGCTGAAGTTTAATACAAAACTTTTATTTCAATAATCATCTGAAAAACTTGATGTTAATGTTCCACCTCAGCAAAAACCACTATCCCCCTCTCAACCCAGTGTTGGGTTTGAACCACCATTGGCATTTGAAAATGCCAAAAACAGACAAAAATTGTTCCCAGTTCTTCATTCTGCCCTAGATAATGTAAAGCCAAGGCTTCCAATTCATTCATGGAAAACTACCAGGGTACTACTGGGAACTTAAAGCTCATGTGCCTGGCAGTCACGAAGATTGGTCCGTGTTGACAACTGTCGGGCCAACATACTTTCAACACCCTCCCTTAGGCAAAAAGGATAGGGACTCATGAAACCACCAAAAATAGTAGAGCAGAAGGAAAAGTGCAAAGATAAGCGGGGAGTATAGGAGAAAAAAGTGGTGTGACGGGGCAGGAGATAGAGACTTTATAATAGGAAATACAGCTGAAGGAAAGAGTGGGGGAGGGCATGGAACTGTACAGGTACACACACAGGTAAAACAATAAAAGTATCTTGGGCATGGAAACAGAACCGACAAACAAGAAAGACCTCCACTCAAAGACCTCAATTAAAGAAAGTAAACAGATGAAATGGAAGGGGAAAGCAGTTGTTAGGAAAAGCACTGTAATTCCACAGTCTTGAGGCCAATGAAAAAGACAGCTCCAATCTACAAATGGACTGGATATTAGGAAGTTTGCAGGCTCTCAATGGAGAATGAGAGTCAAGCCGCCATTCTAAGGTTGGGAGCAGTGGGGTTAAAGTAGGCAAGCTTGTAATGTGCACCTTAATAGGCTTCAACGTGTGGGGAGAAACCTTACATTCTGAGAGGAAAGACAAGAAACACCACTCAGGCCAACACAAAAGGGACTGTACAAAAATCTCTTCTGTTCACAAACTTTGGAGTAAATAGAAGCAAGGTAACAATAGACAACAAATACCTTAACTGCATAGTTCCTGTTCCCTTAAAGCTGCTGGGGCAATCAACTATCTGATTTTTCCTAAACGTGAGACAATTACTAAGGCAAAGAAAGGCCGAAACCAACCGGCAACTTTCAGCATGATTTCTCCTTTCAGTACAGACTTAGGTGTATTTAGATCTCTTGCAGCCGGGTGCCGGAGGAGAAGCCGGGGCAGTGTGTCCAGATCAAGGAAGGCTTATTTGGGACGCAAAGTCTTCAATACCACGACTTCAATACCACCTCAGGGAATCTGAAATTACTACCCCAGAGCGTTAATAAAGGCACCTTTTTGGGAGACCGCAGAATGCCAGTAAATGTACACCTTCTTCCCCACCCATCGACTTTCGCCATGACTTGCGCAGGAACGGGTTTTCCTTGCTTTCGTTTCTATGTGGCCGAGACCCAAAGGAGCGGCCGGTCGCTTACCTGCTTTCCATTTCCCGGCCCGGGAGGGGCTCCGCGTCCTGCAGAGAGGTTCGCTGCCGGCTCCCTCTGGCTGGCGACTCACCTACGGAGCTGTCTCTGGCTGGGACCAGCCTGACTCATCTGGGAGAGGTGGCAGGGCCGGGGAGACCTCAGAGGGCGGAAGGACAGGAGGAGGCGGGCCGGGCCCTTCCTCCAGAGCCAGGGAAGAGGCGTCGCCGGGGCGCAGGTGAAACCGATTCCGACCTATCCCGGGAACTTTCGCTGCGGGGACTCGCTGGGAGAGGCCCGCGTCGCGCAGGGGCGGTGGGGGAACCGCCCTCTCCCACCCGGACTGCGTGCGGGGGCTCAGCCCGGGGCCCTTGCGCGCTCTTGGCGCGCTCCGGGACTGCAAGCAGCGCCGCCCTCCACGGCTGATGGAGGCGGGTGGCGCCGCCCCGAGCGCAGGTGACACACCGCAGGCCAGGGTTTCGGCTGGCAGGGGAGAGCTCCGGGAGGGCGCGGACACCCGGGGCCAGGGGACGACAAGGCAGCGATGGCCAGAGAGTTGAGCCAGGAGGCACTACTGGATTTTCTGTGCCAGGCTGGAGGAAGAGTGACCAACGCCGCCTTGCTGGGCCACTTCAAGAGCTTTCTCCGAGACCCCGACGCGCCCCCCAGCCAACACCAGCGCCGCCGCGAGCTCTTCAAGGGCTTCGTCAACTCGGTAGCCGCAGTGCGCCAGGACCCCGACGGCACCAAGTATGTGGTGCTCAAGAGGAGGTACAGGGACCTTTTGGGGGAGGAGGGGCTGCAGCGACCCCGCGACCCGCCCGCTGCCGCCGCCCCTACAGGAAGAGCTGCTCCCTGTTCCCCGCAAGGCGCGCGCCAAAGGGATCCGCCGCCGCAGCCGCCCAGGAGGCGGCGGCACGAGAAGGGGCCAGAGGAGGAGCCAGCAGGTGCCGCAGCCCCAGCCGCCCACGCAGGTTGTAATGGACTCACCGCCAGCCGCACCCGGGAGGCAGCCCGGGGAGGCGGCGGGCGGAGGGGCGGCTCTGGCCACAGGGCCGGAGCGAGGTGCGCGGCTGTGGAGACGCAGGGCCGCTGCTGCTGGGAATGCCACCAAAACAGCCTGGAGGGACTCCCGGACGAGCAGGTGCTCGGCGCAGTCCCAGACCCCGCCACCGCCACCGCCGGGGACAAGCCGGCGCGTGTCCCGCTGGCCCGGGATGATCGCGAGCCTCCCGGGCAGCAGCCGGAAGGCTTGCCCGCTGAGCACGCACCGGTGCCCACAGCGCCCTGCTCTCCTCCTGCAACCGTCGAGGCTGCTGGAAGTGGGGCTTGGCCGCCTCCTCTCCTGTCCCTCCCTACTTCCCCTGCAGACCAGCCAGAGCTGCTGACCCCGAGCTCTCTGCATTATTCCATCCTGCAGCAGCAGCAACAGCGCACTTGGGAATGGGTGGCCAGACATCCCCAGATACCCAAGGCCCGGAACCAAGGACCCATCAGAGCCTGGTCAGTGCTGCCGGACAATTTCCCCCAGATACCATCTGAGCCCAACTTCTGTGTCCCAGAACCTAACTCAGAGCCTCTAGACCCCTCTCTTTCATCTCATTCTCTCCTTCCTGTTGTTCCGGAATCCTGTCCCCAGAATACTCCATTGACAATCTTTCGTAGCATTCGTAGTCAGCTGTCCCTCCAAGATCTGGATGACTTTGTGGACCAAGAGAGCCATGGCAGCGAGGAGAGCAGCAGTGGGCCCAAAGAGTCCCCAGGGGGTTCTGAAGAGGGGCTGCAAGTTACCCTGGGAACCCCAGATTGGAGAAAGCTCAGGGATCCGGCTGGGGGCCTTTCTCCAAAAGAGGGCAGCCCCAGCAGGAGCCCTCAGGGCCTCAGAAACAGAGGGGATGGTCACACCTCTCAGCAGGTCTCGACAAAGGCTAATGGCCTTGTAGGCCACCCCCAGGAATCTTTCCCCTGGCCAACTCCTAAGTTAAGGAGAGCCCTCAGGAGGAGCTCACAGTCAGGGAGAGCCAAATTGTCTTCTTCCGATGAGGAGTGTCTTGAGCAGGACTTGCTGAAAAGGACTCGTCGCCCACCACGGTCCAGGAAACCCTCCAAGGCAGGAGCAGTGTCCAGCCCAAGAGTGGATGCTGCTTTGACACCACAACCTGCAGACATTAAGGCTGCTGCTGCTGCTGAGTGGCGTCCTCACACCCCCTGGGCCGAGGGTGGGGAGGAATCTGCAGCCTTGGTCCCCCACAGACCTGAGCACAAGTCATCTCTGGTCCCCCTAGATGCCAGGGAGCATGAATGGATCGTGAAGCTTGCCAGTGGCTCTTGGATTCACGTGTTGACTTTGTTTTGGGAGGACCCCCAGCTGGCTCTGCACAAAGACTTCTTGACTGGGTACACGGCCTTGCACTGGATAGCCAAACATGGTGACCTCAGGGCCCTTCAGGACTTTGTCTCTAGTGCACAGAAAGCCGGGGTTACTCTTGATGTAAATGTGAAGTCCAGTTGTGGATATACCCCTCTGCACCTTGCAGCCATTCACGGCCACCAGGGGGTCATCAAAGTGCTAGTGCAGAGGTTGGCTTCTCGGGTCAATGTCCGGGACAGCAGTGGGAAGAAGCCATGGCAGTATCTGACCAGTAATACCTCTGGGGAGGTATGGCAGTTACTGGAAGCCCCTCGGGGAAGGCCCATTTTTCCTGTCTATCCTTTAGTCCGAAGCTCTTCCCCCACCAGGAAGGCCAAGAGCCGGGAAATATCTAGAAATATCACCCGGAAGTCTTCCCTTGCTGCACTACTCAAAAGTCAGCACAGCAAATGGAAATTGGCCAACCAGTATGAGAAATTCCCCAATCCAAGGGAAAGAGAAGAGTATAGTGACTGAGGTGGGCCCCTCTTTTGAACATGGCAGCCACACACCACACACCAGCACATCCTTGAGGTGTTCATTGAGAAAATTCAGGGGGAATAGAAAAATTGCTGAGGCGTTGGTAAGGAAGAGATCATCTGACGTGGTTTACCTCGTGTTTACCTGCCTGGATTTTATGTCAGCACATCCTGGACCTTAGGGGTCACCCAAACTTTCTGACAGCTCAAGTCTTTGGGCCATTGAAACCTAGACACAGGGCAGAGTCAGACTTAAAACCCAGTAAATAGTCTTCCTCTTTCCTTGTCACCACAGATCTGGGCACAGTGAGCCACATTGGTTTTCGAAGCAGCAGCCCCAGGCCTTGACTACAGAGAGAACAGATGTTTAAGAAAAAGGGAGGCAATTCAAGGGATTGAGGAAGCTCAAACAAAATCCTCTGGCTAGTACCTCTCTGGCCTCTATTCATTTGGAGAATAAATCCTGGCTGAGTGGAAAGCACCACGTTTGAAATCAGATGGCTTCTATTTTCTTCTTTTTCTCTTTTTCTTTCTTCCTTCCCTCCCTGCCTCCCCCTCCTTCTTCCCTTCCTCCTTCCCTCTCCTTCTTTCCTTCCTCCCTCCTTCCTTCCTCCCTCCCTCCCTCCTCCCTCCTTTCTTCCTTCCCTCTTCTTTCTTTCCCTTTCTTTTCTTTCCCTTTCTTTCTTTCTTTCTTTCTTTCTTTCTTTCTTTCTTTCTTTCTTTCTTTCTTTCTTTCTTTCTTTCTTTCCAAATCAATGAAATAAAATTATTACTGGAGAGTGGAGCTTATTTTAAGATTCCTCAGCCCTATCTTCAGATCTTCCTTTGAATTCAGCCTAAGGTGGCTAATATGTGAGATGATTAATACCTTATTTGTATCTCTTCTCCACGATTAGAGAAGCAGTTAGGTAGGATCCAGTTATGACTGGCATTCAGGCTCTGCTTTTTTAAATAAATCAACCTAAGGGAAAATTTCCAAATGTAAAAACTGTTGGCTCATTTGCATAGTTGCTGAAATCATCTTTCATGGAAACTCCCTGTGTAACAAATGGCAAAATCAGCATTAGTAGTTTTCAATAGGATGGAAGAGCCAATGTTCATATTCTGGGGAAGCAATAAGGGTTAAGAGGTAAATGCTTCCCCACCGGGAATTTTCTAAGCTGCTAAAAATATAATTTAATTTGCACTAAACTTGTTGCCAATTAAGATTAAACATTAGCCTTGAAGTGCTGTATCTCTAACAGGAAGTGTTCCTTTTATTTGTTTGTGATGGTTCTGATCTCTGTGGGTCCATGGAATGAGAGAATGGCTACTCTGTAAATTGCAGTAGAACATTAAGATTTCAGAATGTAAATTCAAAGAGGCTGAAATATTAAATTTCCATATGGAAATTGTTAATATTTTATGGAATGTTTTCATGTGCAATGTCAGTGATGTATTTTCACAGTATTTTTGTGTTTCTTCTGGTTATTTTTCACCATTGAAATATCAACAAATCTTTATAAGTTATTGTACTTATGCTGATTACTATTGACTTTCTTCTTTAGAAAATTGTGTTTCAAATGAGTGTCAAATATTTCTTTATAGTTTTACCTTATAATTTTGCTGAAATAAATATAATTCTGTTCAATTAGAAAACATACGAAAGATAGGTATAATACATAACTCTACAGGTTGTTTTTTTCCAAAAAGACCTTTATAAGAGATGAAGCTTTGGCAAATCAAATCAAGAAAAAAACAACGATCACAGACGGTGGGGGCATGATTAGGAGAAATGAAATTTGAAAGCATAAAAGATAAATAACTATATAAGTACCCTAGTGAGAGATTTTCAAGGAAAAAAATTTATAAATATCAACTTTTTTTAAAAGTCAAAGAATGTTTTTACCTTACCATATTTTCATCACAACATCAATTTATTCAGCAAACATATTATTGCCTAGTGCTGTGGGGTTTACAAGGGTGAGTGCGCTGTGACCTCACCTTTCTTGAAACTTACCATCTAATTATTCTTCTTAACTTAAAGTCTAATGAGATTTGTTGCTGATTGATGTATACCTTATCTTGTTCCCAAGGTGTCTTTCAAAGCTGCATTATATTAGATATAAGCTTTTAAATTTTTTTTTTCAACGTTTATTTATTTTGGGGACAGAGAGAGACAGAGCATGAACGGGGAAGGGGCAGAGAGAGAGGGAGACACAGAATGGGAAGCAGGCTCCAGGCTCTGAGCCATCAGCCCAGAGCCCGACGCGGGGCTCGAACTCACGGACCGCGAGATCGTGACCTGGCTGAAGTCGGACGCTTAACCGACTGCACCACCCAGGCGCCCCATAAGCTTTTAAAATGAGACAGAGAGTGGGGCGCCTGGATGGCCCAATTGGTTAATTGTCCTACTCTTGATCTCAGCTCAGTTCTTGATCTCAGGGTCATGAGTTCAAGTCTCACCTTGAGCTGCACACTGGGTGTGAAGCCTACTTAAAACAAAATGAGACAGGGGCGCCTGGGTGGCGCAGTCGGTTAAGCGTCCGACTTCAGCCAGGTCACGATCTCGCGGTCCGTGAGTTCGAGCCCCGCGTCAGGCTCTGGGCTGATGGCTCAGAGCCTGGAGCCTGTTTCCGATTCTGTGTCTCCCTCTCTCTCTGCCCCTCCCCCGTTCATGCTCTGTCTCTCTCTGTCCCAAAAATAAATAAACGTTGAAAAAAAAAAAATTAAAAAAAACAAAATGAGACAAAGAGAAAAAAGGTGGTACCAGGAATGAGGACAAAACAACCACTATGCAAGAAAAAATTTTCAAAGTGTCCTAAGTACAAAATTAAGCGCTGCAGAGAATTTCAAAGGAGAGATTTCCTTGGGCTGGGAAAATCAGGGAGGGCTTCATGGAGGCCTGAATCTTCAAGTGAATGCTGCTGGCTTTCCAAAGAAACCAGCTTTATTGGTTCTACCACATTCTTGACATCTGTTTCAGTGTGTGATTTGCATAGCACTGGTGTTGACAGATGGCTCACTGGTTAGAACACAGTCCTGGGTCTCATGTTGATTCTTATGAGGATTCAGGTTCCTTTGGCCTTTGTCCACACATCATACTTATGGCTTTGGTTAACTCTCTTACATGGTCAACATTTATGTTAGGAGGGGGCAGGGCTGAAGAGGGTACTGAGAGCAGAGTAAAATACAAATCTGATTGTGTCACTCTCTTGCTCAACTTGTGAAGTCCAGGCTAGGAGGGCTGACAGGCCTACAGCATATTTTTCCAGCCTCCTGCCAACCACTCCCTGGCATGAACCCTACACTGCAGCCACACCAGACCCACTGGAGTGCTAATGGCCCTACCCTCTCAGTTTCTGTCTTGGTGCTAAATTCCCTCAGCTCAGAATCCCTATCACAGTTTAAGTGGCAACCTTTTCCTTATTTTTCAAGGGACAGTTCAAATGTCAAGCCTCTAAGAAGATTCCAGGGTAAACACCTCCAAACCAGAAGATGTATAGCTTTTTCACCAGAATTCTCATAATGCTGTGCACACACTTCACTGAAAGTTTCTGCCACAGGGCAGTTTAATAAATTGTTTGAATGTTTTATTTTTCCTGAAGACTTTGAAGATTGGAGAATACGTTTTCAATGCATCAAAATTTAGCAGATATTTATGGAACATCTACTATGTGACAAAGATATAATTCTTACCTTCAAGAAGTCATAATCTATTGGGGAAGGAGGGTCACTGAAAAAGAATTTTAGCACCGCAAAGTAGGTGGATAGATGTGTGCATCTAGACTATGAGAATAGTATTTGTGGAGGATTTTCTTTGTATTAGGCTCTATGTTTGTAGGACATAAAACATGTTTATAGAAATACAACATCCAATAAGGTGGACACATTTCCTACTCTCACAGCACTTTTCAGGACCAGGGAAGTTGAGAAGGTAAAATGGAGTTGCCTGGGTGGCTCAGTTGGTTAACTGTCTGACTCTTGATTTTGGCTCAGGTCATGATCTCAGGGTCGTGAGATCCAGTGAGCCTCTGTGGGACTTTGTGCTGGTAGTGGAGCCTGCTTAAGATACTCTCTCTTTCTGGGGCACCTGGGTGGCTGTCAGTTAAGCATCCAACTTCAGCTCAGGTCATGATCTCATGGCTCGTGAGTTCGAGCCCTGTGTCAGGCTCTGTGCTGACAGCTCACAGCCTGGAACCTGCTTTGAATTCTGTGTCTCCCTCTCTCTCTCTGCCCCCTCCCCTGCTCCCACTCTGTCTCTGTCTCTCTCAAAAATAAATAAATGATAAAAACAATAAAAAAAAAAAAGATTCTCTCTCCTTCTTCCTCCACCCCTCCTCCTCATGCTCTCACACTCTCTCTTGAAAGAAAACAACAACAAAAAAAGGTAAAATGGAAGTTAGTCTTTGAAGGGCCAAGTGGAGAAAGAAGGAGAGAATATTCCAGAAGAAGAAAGGAGCTTGAGTAAAGCTGCAGGGTGTGTTTGAGGGATACTTTGACACCTGTGGCTGTGGCGAATACACAGGCTGAAGTGAGGTAGTGTGGAAACAGATGAAGATATAACGGTAATTTAAGGCCAGGTTGAGAAAAGGGTCTTTTATGCTATGTCAAGAAATACAGGCATTTTTGGGGCGCCTGGTTGAGCGTCTTCTTTCAGCTCAGATCATAATCTCGCCGTCCATGAGTTCGAGCCTGGCATCGGGCTCTGTGCTGACAGCCCAGAATCTGCTTCAGATTCTGTGTCTCACTCTCTCTCTCACCTCCCCTGCTTGCACTCTGTCTTTCTCTCTCTCAAAAATAAATAAACATTAAAAAAATTATTTTTAAAGAAATATAGGCGCTTTCTAAGAAGCTAAGGATTGTCGAAACTCCTCCAGAAAGCCTTAGTGTTATTGCAAATATAGATGATTTCCTAAAGTCTTAATATGAAGACAAAAATATATATCAAAGTATTAGGTAGGATGTACTTAGTTTAAAAGTTTCCCTTTCAAATCTTTCTTAAGTCTTTAGTGTTGT